TTTCTTTCTTTTTTCTTTCTCTCTCTCTCTCTCTCTCTCTCTCTCTCTCTCTCACACACACACACACACACACACACACAACTAAAAATGAATTATGAACTTCTTTTTAAAAAAAGAAACAATTGAGTTGATGCTGTGCCAAGATTTCCCTGTCAGGGATTTTTTAAAAGACAAGCTGCAAAATGGGACCGTACCAACAGTGGCTTGTAATGGGCACTGGAGTCTAATCACTGATATCTTTTGAGTTCTGCAGATGAGGAAATACTACTTTTCCAGGTAAAATCAAAGCCTATGTATAGGTCTTAATGGGTGTCTCTTCATTTTTTTTGGAAAGTCAATCATAAGAAAGAGATTGATGGGACCAAGAAGGAGGTCTGTCAGCCAAGACAGAGCAAGTTGGGGGTGAGCTCCGGATCCCAATAGGAGACCAGCACAGAAAATGACTTAGTACACCAATTCCCGTGCACTCTGTCCAGCAAGCCTGCAAGCTTCTCTCCTCAGGCTTTGGAATGACCTGGACTGCAGGTAAAGCAAATACGTGTTTAGTAGCCACCCCTTATTTACTGTGCCTAAGGAGAAGCTACTCCCAGTGCAGAAATCTAGGTAATAGTTCATTCTGGGGATTTCCAACCCTCTCTCATCTTCCTAGGCGACCCTTAAAATTTCAGGTTCTGGTCTGCACTGGGGGAGAGAGCCTGAGCAGAGATCTGGACTACCTCCCTGGGTAGTAAGGGTGGCACCTTACTAGTCTGCCTCTCACACAGTCTCTTTGTGAGGATTTTGCCTGACATTTAGAAGTCATCTCTACCCTAGGCTGGAAGGCACACCTGTAATTAAGGGAAAGGCTACAATGATCAGGGCCGTCTTTACCAGTTTGGGGAATTCCCCTCCCTTCTGGGGCTGGTTATCTGGCTGAATTCCCAGTCTACCCCCACGGTCCTTCTTAACTCATTGATACCCACAGTGTAATAAGAAAAGACCACCCTGGATCAGAACTATGTTCCCGTTCCAATTCCATTAACTTCCCTTGTAACCTCCCTTTAAATTCCTGTCCTTCCTACTTCCTGAGATTCTTATGGGAATATAATGATATAAATGAGAGATCTTGGACCCGCAAAGTTCCACTGTTCTTTCAGTTTGTTCGCCTCAGGGCTATGAAGAAGTCATTCCAGTTTTCTTTATCTAGAATCACTCTTGCCCAGGGTAAGCAGGTCATAAGTGTTCTGCTGTCTTTCAGGTGGTCTCGTTGTCTTACCTGGAATCAGCAAATGCTAATATTTTAATATTTTAGCAACTTAATGGGCTTTAGGTAAAGTTAATTTTATTTTAATCCAGTGGTTCTCAACCTTGCTAATGCTGCGACCCTTCAATACAGTTCCTCACGTCGTGGTGACACCCCCCTCTCCCCAGCCCTCTCCCACCCCAAAACCTTGATTTCATCACTACTTCATAACTGTAATTTTGCTACTGTTATGAATCATAATGTGAATATCTGATATGCAGGATATCTGATCTGTGACTCCTCTGTTTACCCTTTTACCGTGCATTTGCACATTTCCCATGCTTAGATACCAGGTCTATGGGCCAATCACTCCACTTCACTTCACTCACACCTCACCCCCACCCCCCAACCCACACACACACACTCCCAAGCTCACACAGTTTAAAAGACAAAGCTAATTTGGTCTTTCCCCAGGGCCTGTGAATATCCTTTCCCTTCCACCAACTTGAGCTCTTAGCTGCAAGGAGATCCGGCTTGGATGTGTGAAGCCACACCTGGATATTCATTTTAGACCTGTAAGGGAATCCATCATTTTTTAAACGCGCGAGTTTTACACATATGAGTCAACAGGAAACGATTACTCTGCTGAGAAACAAATTTATTGCAAACAGTGCTAAACAGAAAATCTAGGGAAACTTCTGGAAGTATGATAGCACCTTGCCTGGTGATCTGAGGACGACCCCACCGTAGCAGTGACAGTCCCAGTTCAGTTCTCCTTGGTGCTCTCTCCCAGGGTGAGCCTGTCGAAGAAGTGCTCAGCCAGGCGATTTCCTGGAGCCCCCAACTGGCGCAGGTTGGTCACGTAGCCACCCATCTCCTTGATGATTTCGACCTGCTGTTGGAGAAAGTGGCGCTTCAGGAAGCTGCAGAAGCAGGCATCGCCTTTGCTGTTAGCCAGCTGGTACAGCTGCAGGAGGCTCTGGTTGAGCGTCTTCTCCAGGTGTAAGGCACATTCCATCGCCATGAGGCCATCACACCAGTCATGGCGTTGTTGATCGGCAATTCTTCCAAGGACGAGGGAGCCATTGCGCTGGATCAGGAAGTGGAATAGCTTCTCGGTGCTCTCCATCCACTTCTGGGACTGACAAAGGAAGTAGAGCGCGAAGTTCACCAGGGCCACCTCATCTTGATTGCAGAAGAAAGCCATGGAAAGGTAGATGTAAGCGGCATACAGCTGCAGCTGGATCTGCGAGTTGATGGCAGCGTTGCTCTCGGCCAGGTAACGGGGCTCCATCTCGGGCTGCTCCATCTCGGGCTGCTCCATCATCTCGGGCTGCTCCATCTCGGGCTGCTCCATCTCGGGCTGTTCCATCTCGGGCTGCTCCATCTTGGGCTGCTCCATCTCGGGCTGCTCCATCTTGGGCTGTTCCATCTCGGGCTGCTCCATCTCGGGCTGCTCCATCTCGGGCTGAGGAGTAGCCATGGCGGCAGGAGGCCTCACGGTCTGGAGCAGGAGCGAGAAGAAGGACACACCTGGTTGCGAGCTGAGGAGCTGGCGAAGTGGAAGCGGCTTCAGGAGCCTCACGGCGACTTGAGGAGAAGGAGGAGGAGCTGAGGAGGCAGGCAGGACACGTTCCTGACTCTGTCCAGTCAGACTGCGAGGCGGCGCCTGGAGCCGCAACTGCCCAAACAAGGGCCGGAAGATAGCAATGGAGACAGCAATGGCGGCACTTGGGGCCTCGGGCTGTTGAACCAGGTCAAAGGTCAAGGAAGAAAGAAAGCTGCGTTCATTCACAGAAGGCATTGTGCTGACCATCCTAACAACATGGTATCTGACATTTGTGAATAAACAGCCAAGTTGTTTGTTTGTTTATTTTATAAATTGTGTGGCTAGTTAACTCTAAGGAAGGAAGTTATCTGAATATCACCTAACCGTGACCGTTTCATTAAAGTAGTGTGAAGACATTATCTCGTATCTTAAGGATTTAGTCACCTTGGCTGGTGACTTCAATGTCTACACTAGTGACTTTTCTTAGGAAGACGGCAAGAGCAAGTGCCTGTGCTTTATCACCAATCCTGACACACTGGGTATTTCTGAACAAATCAGAGCATGGAGTTCCATCTCCCGGAACTTGGGATAGAAGGAGAGAAAGGGCTCTCAAAATTTGTCCTGTACCTCACTTGTACAGCGCCATGCCCCAGCCGGCATACGCATACACACAATAATAAAATAAAACATAAAAAAAATAAAAAATAAATAAACTTAATGGGCTACAGAGATGGCTCAGTTATTAAGAACATACACGTCTTTTGCAGAGGATCGGAGTTTGGCTCTAAGCACCTAATTAAGTCAGGCAGCTCACAGCTCGCTGTAACTCCAGCTCGGGAGGCATTTGACAACTGTGTCCACAGAAACCCCTGCTGTCTTGTGCAAATACCCCCACCCCACCCCATACACACAGTTTTAAAAATTAAAAAGAAATATTTAAAAACATAAAACAAATTTAACAACCACCACAAAATGTTCCCGAGTCCAGTATGGTGTTGTATGCCTGTAATCCCAGCATTTGAAAAGCTGAAGTATGAAGACTATTTCTATACCATCCTAGGGTGCTACATTCCTTGTATTCTATAATCATCAGACTAAAATTTGTAAAATGCGTATTTGACTTAGCAATTTTAGTTACTGAAAATAGGACATACAAGTTTACACTGTACATGGAGCATATTCCTCTACCATGCTCTGACTGTGCCCTTTTTTCTCTTTCCTTCTCCTGTGAGTCACCTTTGTTCCCCTGTCCTGGTCAGCTTCCGCTCTACTCTCCGGTATCTATATGAAACCTTAAAACCTAGCCACCACAAAGAAGAGAAAATATATCATATTCGTTTCCCTGAGACTGCCTCAATTCACTTAATGATTACCACCAGTTGTACCTATTTGCCTAAAAACAATACTTCATTAATCTTTATGGCTGAAAAATATTCTACTGTGTACATAAACCACATTTTCTTTATCTATTCCTTAGTTACTGGATACCTAGAATGGTTCTCTAACTTGACTATTGTGAATTCTGCTACAATAAACATTGAAATGCAAGTATCTTTGTGATGTGATAACTTAGAGTCCTTCAGGTAAATACCCAAAAGTATTATAACTAGGTCATATGGACTTTTTTGTTTGTTTTGCCTTTTTTTTTTAAGTTTTGTTAGGAATCTCCATAGTGGCTTTCCAGTGGCTGGACTAGTTTAGTTTACATTCCCTTTTGTCTACATCCTTGTCATGATTGTTATTTGTTTTCTTAAAATTCCATTTTACTCCAATCAGAACGGCAGTCATTAATAGAATGTTTTTATCAGTCCAAAATTAAGTCCCATTTCCATTAAAAGGCGATTCCCATTTTGCCTCTTCTGGAGGCCTGCAACCATTAATCGTTTTTTTTTTTTTTTTCTATTGTAGCTATTTTAGATAAAGAGGATCACACTTTTGTGTACAGTTTCTTTCACTTGACTTTAACCTCTATCCCTTCCTTTTCGTCGATAAATGATGTTCTATTGTAGGGCGGTACTACATTTTATCAATACTTTTTTTTTTTTTTTGGTTTTTCGAGACAGGGTTTCTCTGTGTAGCTTTGCGCCTTTCCTGGGACTCACTTGGTAGTCCAGGCTGGCCTCGAACTCACAGAGATCCACCTGGCTCTGCCTCCCGAGTGCTGGGATTAAAGGCGTGCGCCACCACTGCCCGGCAATACTTTTTATGTTTATAGAAATCTGGGTTGTTTTAATTTTCTGACTGTTATGACTAATGCTGTTATGGACATTTATGTACAAGTTCTGTAAAAGATGTACATCTCCAATTCTCTTGGTGATACATGCAGGGGTAGACTAGTTAGATCACAGATTACCTATGTTTAAGACTTTGAGAGATTGCTAGATTATTTTCCAAAGTGATAGCATCATTTTCCATGCCCAGCAGCAATGTTTGAGGATTCCAGCACTGTTACTAGCCTTCAAAACTTGTAGTCACATTGGTGAGGGAAAGTGGTTACTCACTATGGTTTGCATTTCCCCAGTGACTAGTGATGTTCAATATCTCTATATCCTTATTTGCTGTTTATAAACCTTTATTGGGGGAATACTCATTTAAATCCTTTGCCTGTTTTTAAAAATGAATTGTCTTTTTTTTTTGTTGAGCTCTAAGTGTTTTGTATAATTCATGGATATGTCTTTTTCAATCATATAATTTACTAATATATTCTCCCATTCGCTGAATTATTCTTTTCGCTTTCTGAGTGGTCTTTTGAAATCTAAAATTTCTTAATTTTGATGTATAATTTATGTCATTTTTCTTTCATCATCTGTGCTTTTAGTGTCCTGAGAAATCATTTCCTAACTCAGAAATACAAAGATTTATACTTAGATTTTCTTCTAGGGCTATTGTAAGTAACAATGTCAAATTTATATTGAATTGCATATTATAAAAATTAAGGAGCGCCGGGCGGTGGTGGCGCACACCTTTAATCCCAGCACTCGGGAGGCAGAGGCAGGTGGATCTCTGTGAGTTCGAGGCCAGCCTGGACTACCAAGTGAGTCCCAGGAAAGGCGCAAAGCTACACAGAGAAACCCTGTCTCGAAAAACCAAAAAAAAAAAAAAAAAAAATTAAGGAGCAATTTCATTGCTTATAAAAAGAAAGATTTATTTTTATTTGTGTGTGTTTGTGAGGGACGTGCCCAAAGAGAGCAGAACAGAGCATCAGATCTGGAGCTCGAATTACAGGAAGTTCTGAGTCACTGGCTATGAGTGCTGAGAACCAAACTTGTGTCAAGAGCTATGTATGCCCTGAATCACTGGGCCGTCTCTCGAGCCCCAAGTTCCATTTTTTGAAACATGTGAAAAATTAGTTTTTCACAACACCATTTGTTAGGAAGGCTGATCTTTCTCTTCTGAGTAACAACTCTCTAAAAGGAAGGAAGCAGCCATCCCTTATCAAGGTTTGGAGACAAGGAAGACATATAATATGTGTCTCACAGAGAGCACTTGTGCTAATTATAATTGGATGGCTGTTCCCATGAGGATAAGAAGATGCCGAGGGAAGTGGATGCAAAGATCCATGGCCAGGCCCCAGGTGGAGCTCCAGGAGTCTAATCAGTGAGAAAGAGAAGGGATTGTATGAGCGAGAATTGTTGAGATCAAGAATGGAAAAAGCACAGGGACGAATACCCAAACTAGTGAAACACATGAACTATGAACCAAAAGCTGAGGAGCCCCCAACTGGATCAGGCCCTCTGGATAAGTGAGACAGTTGATCAGCTTGAACTGTTTGGGAGGCCCTCAGGCAGTGGGACCGCAACCTGTCCTTAGTGCATGAGCTGGCAGTTTGGAATCTGGGGCCTATGCAGGGATACTTCACTCAGCCTGGGAGGAGAGGACTGGACCTGCCTAGACTGGATCTACCAGGTTGAACTGAATCCCCAGGAGAGTTTTTGTCCTGGAGGAGATGGGAATGGGGGGTGGGCTTGAGGGAAGGTGTGGGGAGGGAGGACAGGGGAATTGTGGCTGATATGTAATATTAAATCAAATTATAAAATAAAAAAAAGAAAAAATGGTGAGAGACTTAAAAATTAACAAAAAAATATTAACTGTATGTCCTTTCTAGAATAACTTTCTGTGCCAGGTGTTGGTGGCACACATCTTTAATCCCAGCACTTGAGAGACTACAGATGCAGGTGGATCTCTGTGAGTTCCAGGCCAGCCAGGTCTACAAAGCGAGTTCCAGGAGAGCTAGGACTGTTACACAGAGAAACCCTATCTTGAAAAAAAAAAAAAGAATAACTTTCTATCTCCACTTCTCATTGACTTTGAGATATTTTTTAACTGTAAATTGAAAAAAAGAAACTAATAATAATGCAAATGAGTGTTGTCCACAGAAATGCAAATGATTTGTCTGGTAGAATGCAATTAATTCTTGAATCATTTTGCATCTATTCTATTTGAACATTGATTTCAACATCCCTTATTGCCTATACATAAACTCTTTGAGTTCTCTTCTGAACAATTTTTGTAACAACATTTATGTTATTTGGAAATCTCTCATTATGTTATTCAAACTGTCCCTGACTTCATGAAACCCTTTCTTTAGCCTCTTCAATACCTGGGATTACAGATATGTGCCAGTACACCTGAATCTCATTTGTAATATCTTATAAGTTTCCACATTACTTCATCTTTTCCATGTACATATTTTATATTTATATAAGAGCCATAATTTTTAATTCCCATCCTTCAGTTATAGTTTAACACTCCTGATTCTCATAACTATTCTGACAGGATCACAGAGCCTGCAAAAGTTTACTTAGTAAACTAAACACTTTTTGAGGAGTACTTATCAGAAATATGGTTCCAGAAAACTAAAGGCACATAAATCAAGGTGATGTAAACTGTAGATTTATAGCATGTCTGAGGGAAAGGAAGCAGTGGTAAGTTGGGGATGCTCAAAGGCAGGGAAAACCAACAGAGGAAGCAAGTGGTTAGAGAGCAGGCCATGGAGAGACAACTCAAAGGCAGAATGT